AAATTAACAAATACAGAAAAAATTATTAAGCTAATTTCTCAATTTCCCTTACTTTCGAAGATATTTCTTAAAAATCCACCAAAAGGAACCTCATGTTGCGTTCGTAATTCCTTTAGAGGTGTATGCAAAGTCATCTGCATAGATGAGTTTTAAATATTTCATAGTGGAAGCTTAAAAGTTTTAAGTTAGACCTTAAAGTAAATGCAAATCCAAAAACATATTTCAAAAGTATTACAGGCACAGAAATTAAAAAAAACTATGGTTGCGGCAATAATAAGCAATATTGCACCGATAATGTAGTTTTTTAATTAAAAATCTCGATTTTACCTTTGCCGAATATCGGTTCACAGTTAATAATTTATATTTTCTTGAAAGAATTTTGAAATCGTTTAGGGTAATATGACTGTAACTAACCGTACGTACTAACGGTTATACTGCTCAAACATAATGTCTTTAACTTGGTGTAATGAGGGGACAGAGATTGCAATTAAAATAATTGTGTGATAGTAATAGTCATAGTACAATAGTCAATAATAGAAACATTAAGTGGATAATGCTTGACAATGTGAGGAAAACAAAAATATATATAAAGAGACTAAAGCATATGAAATAATCAAATGAAATTAAACCGTCACCTCCTTCACCCTAAACACTGATTTATGTAAAATGAAACATTGAAAAACTCGGTTCTTTTGTATATTTTTGGCTGAAGATCCTCGCACGATGGATTGTTTTTTTTTTGGATTTATCTTGAATTTCTCTTGAATGAATTTCGTAAAACATGAATTAAAACCAAAGATAGGCTGAAGCTAAAACTGAAACGAAAATTAGAGCTAAAAATTAAGACAAAGTCAGAGCAATAAGCAACAAGTGGGCAACATTATAAATAAAATTAAGGTGAGTACAGTGTAGGCGAGAGCTATGAAATCAAGACTCATTTATTAAGAGAAATTTTCACTCTGAATTCAACAATTTTTGTAATTCACATATTACAGTATTTCTTTTGAAATCTTTGAATTTCCTTGAGTTGTATCTAAAACTACTTCATCTTCCTTATCTTTCATTTAATTTGAAATTCACTGTTTCTTCTGCAATCGAAAAAATAAATGAATAGAGAAATTCAATTTTGAAAACAAATGCAAATGGTGAATGAAATTGAAAATAAAAAATAAAATAATTGAATCAGCAGACGTTCCATAATCTAGAGTCCCAACCTCCATATAACTTTTTCCAATTAAAAAGCAATTTCAACAGCTTATTCCTGCATTATCCTCCAATTATAAATTGACTTTAGCAAGAATGATAAAATGCAAGAGTGATCAGGCTGTGTTTGGATATCCCAATGATCTCATCTATGACCGACGGGTGAGGGAAAGCCACCGATAACCAACCCTAATCCATCTTCACCCATCCACACTCAGTCCCGGAGCGCAAATTTAAAAGAAAAAAATCCGCAGCCCAATAAGGGGTTCGAATGTTTATTTTTTCACGTACGTAATACACCCGGGCATTCATCCGCTTTGCGCTCTTTTCACTCCAGTTGAAAATTGCCAAAAAAAAATGCGAAAACGTTAAATCGAAAGGTATATCCGTCATTCGATGATACGAAAATAGTGGCACGCGTTGGTAGTTACCCGACCGATTGATCTCCGCCACGTGTCATCAATGCTGCAATCAGCGTGCCTGATTGACGGCCAAGCCCGCACATTTTTTCTCATCCTTTATTCCTTAATGCGTTATTTATGAAGAAATGAGAAATATAAATGAAAAAAAAATACCGGTCACTCGGATTGTCCGAAGGAGATGAGGGGAATATGAGAGAGAAAAAAAAAAGAAATGATCAAGAGGGAGTCTATTGTGTCGAGGGAATATCCACTTATTGACGTGTCTGACCAACGGGATCCGTGGAACCATTGAAAAGGGCCTCCAAGCACACAATAGAGGCTATACCGAGAATTCACGCTCTTCTATCGCCTGACATGAATTTTTATTCCCCGATGGAGAATTATCCTGTCGTTGGCAGCCCCGGGAAATTGGAGAAGTCGTGATTCTGAGGCGCTTGGGTGGTAATTCGATCGGAGGATTTTTTAAGGGGTGATAAGAATGTTGAATCGGTCGAGTGGAATGAATCATTTGTAAAAAAGAATTTATATTTTTCTCGTTCTCCCATGGAGATAAATTCTTTGGAAATTATGTGGCAAGAAACCATGACATGTTTCAATAGATTTATTAGTTTTTTATCTTTTGTAAGGATGAACAAAAAAATGTCAAACCATTTAAATCAGGTGTTGCAGTTTTCATTAATTTCCAGCAATATTTTTATGCAAATTCTCGATCTTTACAATTTTTATCCAATTGCAGATGACATCTTCTATATAACTTGATATTCTGAGTAAAGAAGCAAAGAAAACGTGTCTAAGTAACCCTTATCAAAATCACGTTAGAAATGTAAATTTTCGCTGTTTTCACCTGCCTAGTCATCATCAGCATTTCAAATTGAGTTGACATGTGAAAACTCGCTTCAAAAATTAAACATAAATTTTATGTAAACAGCCTATAAAGAAAATCTGAGCGGAAGTTAGGATTCAAAACAGATAAATCACTTATTCTATTCAAACCAAACTCCGGTGATCCAGTAACTCGTGAAAATTGATGATTATTCTAGGCTTTAATAGCTAAGCAATTTCGATATACCTGGAGATAAAAAAAATTGTACAACGTAAGATCGTTTGTAAGCGAGGAAAATTTAATTAAAATTAATTCGAGTAAAAATTGGATTACCCCTCTGTCATTTTCGGCCAAAATTTTCACCTGCATGAACCTTTTTCCATAATTTTTTCCAGTGGATTAACTGCGACTGCCACTTATCCTTTGTCGAGACCATCACCCCGGAACATCTTCCACAGCATCGTTTCCAATTCCCTCGGATTTGTTTCGCCACTCTGGGGTGTGTTAAGCCCCCAACGACACTGAGCACAACACTATCACCCAGTCTACAACCGCATTTCCTTCATCTCCTAATAATGTGGAATTATCACCGATACAATACCACACACTTCACTTTGATGTTGAACCCGCTAGAAAATAATACCCTCCGCTAATGGAATAAGATTACGGCTGTATACTGAACATGTGTATTCACAAAATACGTGAGGAGCCCCTCGGATGACGCCTGATCATGCTCGTTGTTGCATAACCAATATTCAAGCAACTTTGTATGAAACACGCGCACTTCCGTAACCAGCCACAGCCTGTCACAGGTGTTTCTGTCAGCGAATGAGCGAATCATGGGGTTCATGAACTCATTCATCGAGAAAAAGTGACCAAACTTGTTGGATGGAAAGTTTCCACTCCATGAATTCCCCACAATGACATCAAACTTTCGAGTTCACATTTGTTAGCAGCAATAATTCTCTCGAATAATTTATTTCCATTCGAAATTTATCAACTGGGGTAACACTCATGTCATGAGGAGATAATGCTCATGCTTCTATTTACTATTATTAATATTAAAGAACTTAGATCCCTTGTTTTAAAAGTGCACTGTGAGTTTTTGAAAAATACTCGTTTTATGTCACAATCCAGTAATAGTTCAATTTACTAGGCTGCAGTCTGCCAATTGAAACTTTCTGTAAATAACGAACTGTCATAAATGAAACTTTTATACTTTTATATTTAAACAATGATACATTTCAAAAATTAATTATTTGATCTATTAACTGTATTATTGAAAAGCATATTTTAATTTCGTCTCTATTTTTGATTCGATTAATAAATTCGTTGCGACTTCAACACTTCGACATAATTGCAGAAATTATTTCAGAGAGTTGATCGATTTTGGGAGAGATTAACCCTTCGTTAACATGCTTTACACACAGAAAACACTGACGATATTTTACACAATCTTATGCAGATTTTATGCATAGCAATGCAGAGTTTCAGGAATATAGAAAAAAACTTTGGTATGTATAAGTTATGATCAATCGGTGTATACTTTTTGATTGGCTGAGCATTAACGCTGTCATTTTTTCACCTACTTTATTCTTTACATAGTAATTGGCTCCTACAGGCTAACCTTTATCAAATATCATGACACAATTATTGCTTATTTCACGTGATTTCAAAATAATTTCAAGCGATTTTTTGTAATTGAATTTTTTTCAATGTGAAATACTCTGGAGTGAAGAATATCTTTCAGGTTTCCGTGTAATTACCATTATTTACTATGACTGCAGTGATATTTTATAAACTTCGGTGATATATAATATGTGCGGATACCGACATAGAAATTTGTACTATTTAATTGTGTTCACGCAATTGTCTCGACGAAAGGATGAAAAAATGAATGAGGCCAGGGTATAATTATTTAGTCCTCTCTGGCGTATAATTCGTGGTGTAGACTTTCACGGGTGGCGTGCATCGAGAGGTGAGGAGGGTGATATCGAGAGACAAGACAGTGCCCTGAAGGGGCGTGTGGTATAGACAGGGCTAAGTGGGGTGCAACTGACAGCCCCGAGACAATTAGCTTTTTGATACAATTCCAACCCAATATATCCACCCCTGACAATGATTTTTGCATAGAACAATTACAGTCAGCTGATGGAATAATGAGATAAATCGGTGCGAAAACAGACATCTTCTCCAATATGTTATCCCATATGTTTTTTTGGGACCTGGCATTTCCTGACCATGTGTGAAATCACGTGTTTTTGTTAATGGTAAAGCTTGGAATGTTGCTGTTGCCCTCCGGGCCAAGATCCCAGCTGGATAATCCTCACCCTCTGTAATGTAAACAGTAGGGTCTCTTTAGGTGATGAAACTGGGTCAAGGAACAACTTTCAATGTACCTGGTGCTTGGGATATTTTCAGCTGGAGTGTGTTGCTTGAAGTTACGTGATGTGATTCCTTTGAAGGCAAAAAATTATACTCTAAGGACTCTTTAAGAACATATTTTGTATAATTATATTCAAGTATCTCAATTGACATAGTTTACCATCCATCATGAAATCAGAATAATAACCGGAATCAAGAGATTGAAATACATTCAAAGGAATAAAACAGAAAATAAGCATATTTTTGTTAAGAAAATTTTAAGTTCGCGAATTACAAATTTTTTGTCGCATTTTTCATTTCTGCAGTGGAAAATTGTAATTTACCTGATGAGAAATGTCGCAAATTACTTTTCAGGCCACGTACTATCTGGTGAGCTGTTTCAATGTATAATTGAATAAAAAACCATCCACGAGAAGTAAAAAATGAAGCCATTCCTCAAACCCGTCAAAGGTACGGTTCATTATATGAATTCTTGCAAACAAATGTTTATAATTATTAGGTATTTTAGATTTATTCTTCTCAAACACTCAATAAGTAATCTAGAGTTTGTTTATACTAGAATGTAATCATGCATACCTTCTGCTAGGACTATCAAATAATTCCTAAAAATCATCAATTTACCAACAGAAAAAGTTAATGGTAAAATACAAATTTTAGACCTTAATTGATGTGGTTTTGAGTCTGTTAAATTACCAGATTAGAAAAGTAAATTACAATTCTAAACTTAAAATTCCGAGGCAGAAATTGTCGTTTACATTATTAGTCTTATAATTTATATTTTTACTCTTTTAGTCAACTAGATTGAGTTCATAATTCACGGGTTTGAATCTCTCGATTTACATGTAGACTTTTGTGTCTTTACCACTAATTACTGTCAACCTGTTCTAATTATACTCAGCCGCTTAATACATTCGATAATAGAGCCGACAATTGGATATCTGAGTGTATTTGACACGTCGTGTGCACTTGGTGCATCGTCTTGTGACAATGCATGAGGCACCCTATGTAACTGTGGCACCTTGCGTGGGGTTCCCGCTCCAGATATTCGCTTCGTGGGACCTGAACTTATCGCCACCTGCTGCAGCCCATGGGTGCATCAGCAGAGTGCCACCTGGTGCATTGGAAGAGGCTCAGAAGCCAATCCCATTCAAAGAACCAGGCAAAAAGGTACTGAGGATTCTATCTCCTCAACAATGAGTCTTGAATGAGATTCGCTTCTGCTGAAGAAAAGATCTTTTTCCCCCTAGATGGGCTTTGGAGGTATTGAATAGTTAGTCCTAGGGTGACAAGCATCTTAAGGTGACTGAGGAAGTGGATTAAGGGGTAAAAGTTTTTCTTTCTAAGGTAGACGAATAACTTTCCCACGACAAACTTATTTTTCAAGAGTCCTCATGCGCACAAAGTGCCAGAGGGTGATAATTAAAGTTGAAGATGGTTCTTCTTAATAAATATTTTTTTTTTTTTTTATTCATTTCGCAGGGTGACAAGTTCGTTGTTCCTGTTTTCATCGGGTTGTAATTAGTTCCATAGAGGACACTCAGAGTTTCCTTTTCTGCATCACTAAAATATAATGAAAAATAAAATGAGAAAAAACGAGTGGTATATGGCTATTAACTAGTGGTACTTTTCATATTTATGTTTGGTAATAGGCGAGCAATATACTTTCAAATGGATATCACTTACACCTGGCTATAGAAAGTATATTTAATATTTGGGTTGGCGCAACCCGAATGAAAACATTTTTTCAAAAACGAAAAAAGTCCTATTTGAAATTGAGAAAATATTTAATTCTACAATCATTTGGTTGCTCTAATCTCTTCTTGAAGAACTTCTTCTTCTTCCCTCTCTAGAATATATAAAAATAAAAAAGTTGTGATACAATTTCCATTCTCATACGAACATGTCATCCGCAATAAAACATTTACGTTTATTCTGTATCATTTTTAATTAAAAATTTTTTTATTCTAATTCTTTCTCCACTTGCCCATTGTAGGTCGACGTTGACCCGTTGTTGGGTCGACACAAAATTTTTTGCTAAAATTCATAAACTGAAAATGGTATGGAATATTTACGAACGTGATTTGCATAACATGAAAACGCATATTTCTAGCGTCAATCCAATCGATTTGGACCATTTTTTCTTCAGTTATCAGTCATACACACACGTGCTTTAAAAATATCATATTCGAATTCTTGAGCCCTGTATTAGCCATCCTGATATAAAATATAGAAAACTTGAAAAATAAGTTCTGAGAAAAACTCTGCTTTCATCCAGAAGCCAAAAATGGGTTAAAGAAAGATTTAAATAGTTACATTGGGGAAAAATGAGGATTGTTTTCCAAAATTCAGCGATTTAGTTTTTCTTGTGGAGGATGAAAACGCTCCAGGGAAAATAACTCTCTCGATCCGATGGGTTTCTGAAGGGATGTTGTTGTTCTTGAAATCAGTTACATCGATGGGATAGTTTGACGGGCTGTCAAATGTCAGACTACCCGTACCTTTACGATCAGATTCAGGACCAGATATGCCTGGAGGGAGCGCTGGTCGGTGATTAACAGCAGCTCGATAGCTCAGACCTTTGGGACACATGTAACAACAACTTATTAAATATTTAATCAAACGAATAGAACCATTAACTCAATTGGATTAATTACCTGAATTTTTGTTTCTGAAGAATCTGAAGAACCCACCATTATAATTATTAAGGTAATCGACAAGAGCACTGGGTTCCCTGGGGCATCTTGGGTACTGTCGATAGCAGACATCTGGATTCCCTCTGTTGGTATAGCCCATCAAAGCAGATTTACCAAAGGTCAGCAGTGGTGATGACGCTGGAGTGTCAAAAGCCGTTAAAAAACTGCAAATCAATTGTTCAAATGATCAGATTTCATGAATTCAATAAATTCTTCAAGGCCCAAGTATCAGCAATAGCTTCAATGCCTCTTTTTCTTCGGTTTCTGTTAGGTCCGACTGATTTTGTCTTGTAGCCGGTATTTCAAATTCAACTAACCTGACAAGTGAGTTCATACCGAAGCCCCCGTAATTCTGCTTGTACTCGGAATTGCCGGGTATCACGCCAGTGGCAACCTCGCAGAGAATTCTGGGAACGCATTTACGATCGTCGTATTGTGATATGGAGGACAGTGCATCGAGCAAGTTGACACCCAAAATTCCGGGACTGTAATTCGAGGTGGGTTCGAGGGGATAGCCTGGTGGCAGTGCAGGTGGGTATCTGTGTGGTGCAGGGGGATTACCCGAGTACAGAGAGCCTTCATGCTAGACAGCATATCAAGTGTAATTGATGCGTTAGATTTATCGACTTTCAACATTTACATCTATATAACATATATGTCTATTTTTCAATGAATACTAGTATGTTTTCTATTAGAAAATTACAAATCAAATTTCAAATTAAATAACTTGTGATAAGCAATTTCTCGAATTGCTAATATGGTACATTCCACGCCTAATCGGGTACCATTTGGGTTTTGCATCTTCCATCCTTTTTCAATTTTTGTATGTATGAGATTTTGATTTTTGAAAAATTACAACATTTTTAAAAAATGCCCATAACTTTGCAAGGAATTTGGATGGGACCAAATTAGACGTTGTTTCTCGAAATTTTTGGTTTTGGACGCATTTTCCAACAAAAAGAATCACAGAAATGATCAGAACCATATCTCTACAAGATTTTCGAATTGGAATTAGAAATTATTGATCTACAAAAAAACAAGTACCGATCGATTTTCACGACAATTCTTCACAAAAAACTGTTACCCATTCGACAACTTCTAAGAATAATCATTTCAAAGTGGGGTAACGATAAAACAAAGAAAATTACAGGTACACAAAAATAGTGTTGTGTCATTCCGAACGGACAAGATATTTTACGGTTTAATCAATTTTCAACATCTGTTGAATCACGGATTTATAAAATATTTAACGATATATTTATATTTTTATGATGCAATTATAGTTTTGTGCGGTTGTGAGTGTCTTTGCTCTTGAGTATCGTTATCGTTTATGATTCTTTAACCTGAACATAGTTCTCATTAGAGAAGACAATCAAAGCTGTCAATAAATATCAGACGATGATTTATATTGATTTTTTAAGACGAATAATTGAAATGTTGAAATTTAAAAATAACATCAAAATAGATCGTATATATTAAATAGGTCGTCATTCCACTAATTACTCTTAAAATTTGTCGAATGGTTAACAGATTTGCGTCAAAAGTTTTTGCCAAAATCGAGCAGTATGTGTTTTTTATAAATAAAAAATTTTAATTTAAGATTTGAAAATCTTATAGAGATAAGGTTCTGATTATTTTTCTGATGATTTTGCTAGAAATTGCGTTCAAAAATAAAAAAACGTTCATTTTGGTCCCTTTTTCGCAAAATTATGGGCATTAAAAAAAATCTCGGAACAATATGTCAATCGATACTACAATATAAGAAAATTGAAGATGCAAAAGCTAAATGGTATCCTATTTGGCGTTGAGTGCCCCATATATAAATTAGCGGTACAAAAAAAATATCTCATATGATTATTTGCATAGTGTTTTTTTTCTACAAAGGTAAAACGGCGTAAAAAATGGCAGATTCGGCGGTTTTTGATTAGTTTTCAAACTTTCATTGGAAACTCAATGATTGGAACGTGAGAAAAATAATTTTCTTGAAGTGTCACACTGAAAGTGGCATTCACTGAGCGTTTCTAATTGAAAATGAACTCAAAAACACATAATTGGAGATTCAGATTATACTGCGGTGATTGAAATTAAAAAATTTCTAATAATGTAGCAAAACTTCGATTGTTGTAATAACTTCTGTTGCTAAATTTTGTTATTTTTTCTTTATATACGATACTTTCTCTAGTCATCTTATATTTATGTTATAAGAATTTTCCAGAAAAGTGACTTTTCATTTTTTCATCTTTTTTATTTACAGAACTGGTACGCTGATCTAGGACTGTTAATTAGTTCGTTGTACGATGATCAATAATTTTATATAGAATAGATAACTAATCTGTGTCCCATTTGTCTCCAGTGAAATGCGCAACTGCCATGTATTTATATCAATAAAAAAATGAACAACAACAAATGTCTTCTCTATTTTCTCTGAAGAAGCCTTATCATGAAGAATTCATATAAAAATATTTTATAAAATGCGTTCAATTTAATAGGTACTTCTTAAAAGAATGTAGTAATAATTGTCTAAATTCATTCATCCTCTTTTTCAATGGCAAACATGAATTGGCCGTGTGGGCATTTTCCATATTTAGGTGGAAAGTGAGGATTACGAAAGCATGAAATACTATCTTCACTTAAAAATCATCTATAAAACCTTTTTATCACTTTTTTTTTTACCAAGGAATTGGGTTTATAGTAGTCCCGTGATTCTTGATGTGGCGAATATCGGGTGAAACCGTAAGATTCCGTCCTCTTTGGTGCGGGAAAAAATCTGTTTTCCTCATCAGCCCTTTTAGCCACCCTCTGACTCCCCATTTGTGACGCCAAATAATCTATACAGCTTTCAAAAATACAAGTAAGATCAGAGTGGTAAATTCAGGGTTTCTAAAATATTCATAGGACTAATATAGACATGACAATTTTCTTTTCAAGATCTTTTCAGAATAGTCTACATATAGATATATCAAAATTTATAAGTAATAAAGTTCAATGCTATCAATATAATTAAAAGATGAATACAATTCTTTAATGCATAATATTTTAATGAAGGGAAATTAAAAAACTGTAATACCGCGACCAACGGAGGATTAATCAATTAATTTATAAATAAGTCATATATTCTAAAAAGTATTACATTACAAAAATATTGAATCCAAGTTTTGACAAAGACATCTTATTTGACAGAGAAGTTGTCAAAATACTGTCAAAACTGTAAAAGGGAAAGCTTTGAACTGTGTAGGAGAATAAGTTTTTGAAAATTTATGAGAGGTCAAAAAATATTCAAAAGTGTTGCATCGCCCTGAATATTATTAATATTTACCTACACTTATTTTCTAACTTGCGAAAAGTACTATATATACTTCTGAAAAATTTTATGTTCGCTAATAGCAAGTGTTTATTAAATTTTGAGTGAAATCCTCAATTCGATTAGATTTCTAATTTTTCAAAAATAAAGGGTCAATTGGAATAACCGTTTTCAGTATTTTTTCCGAAGTTAACCACTATCTAAAACGTAGAAGCTCCTTATAATCATGTCTTGAACCTAAATGATACCTCAGCAAGTCTGAGATTCCATGAACCCCTGCATGATCCTGAAAATCACAGTAAGGACGTTCTCGATGATTCCATTGAACTTCAACGGGACTCGTGACTGCCTCACTCTTGAGACCTAGTAACAACAGAACGAGGACAAGGCTGCTCTTCACGAGACTCATCACTTTCATTCGAGAGCAGGGGAACACTGAACTCGTTGATATACTCATCCTAACGTCCATTTCCTCGTTCCAGCTGTCTCACTTCAGGTCAATCAGCAATCACCTCCACTTTTTCACATGCTCGTTCTTCACCGAGAGTCAACTCGTACCAATTAACTACCCGAATTAAGAAAAAGTGATGCGAAAAATACGGAGATTATAATTCCAGGAGACGTCGTAATAAGGCAAGAGCGACTAAAAGAATATTCCTCTCTGCACTCTGTGAAAGGTGCTTCGCAACTGATCGTCCGGTAACTTCTTTGACATACACTACAGTCATAGTTGCTGAGGCGTGGGTCGTCGAGCCACGATTTTCAACTCTCTCTACCTCTTTCAACCTACATTTTCATCCGACGGTTAGCTTCCATCACCTTTTTTTCTGCCAATGCCAGAAATACTTATGCAATATATTATTCCCTGACATAGGTGGCTGTCCACATGAAAAAATCCGTCATTAGCAAGATGAAGTCAGCTACATGTGCAGATTTCTGTAGAAACTACCGAAATTTACAGTCTAAATGAAACTCTTAGAGAAATATCAGAGAAATTTCGCAGACTTATGAAGGCGTAAAATTGTAAACTTGAAAAACACTATTTTGAGAGAATTGAAGTCGAATGACGACAAAAGATTTATTGGAGCTCTACTTTGGAGTTACTGAAATGACTTTTTAAATATCAGAGGCATATCGGAGCATGATGCATCAAATTGTGTGTTATCTCACAATATGATCTTTTTTCAGTAACAAATTTAGACATTGTCAATAAAGAATATTTCTCAAATATTAAATTTTAAGAGTTTCTAACTGACTCATTCAATTACTTGATGAGCAAATACAAGTGTAAGCGAGGCAACATCCAATGAGGACATATAAATGAAAACTGAAAAATTTATCAATTTATTCACATCGTAAATGGTAGTCACGTGGTAAATAGAAATACATTATTTGACTATAATTTGTGAACGAGAATCCTTGTTCCGGCAACGTCTGTCTCTCTTGAAATCACGCTGGTCAAATGAAATTGCCTTCTAGTAAGAATAAACACTTTTAGAAGCAACTCCTTATAGAATTCGCATTGTTCCTGAATAAGATAAGAGCCTCATCTTCTTTCCAAAGTTGAATTGGTTCATTTCTAATTGAGATAATCAGATTTAACTGTTTCATTTCGATGCAGGATGAGTTGTACTTTCATTGGAAACAATAAAAAATAATGATAATTCTAATCCAAATCACGACAGTAAGGATATCTCGGAAACTAGAAGCGC